AATCAATATACTTTTAATAGGTTGTGAAGCTTTGATAATGTTGCTAATATCTATATATATACAATTACCTATTTAAGATTAGGATATAAATATTGTATCACTCTAGTTATTTTGTGCATTCAACAAGTACAACAAAATGAACTTTCTCAGTATGAATCAAAGAGGAAATGAAATGAACATGAATACTAACCATAAACTTAAGAGTGTTGAATTAACAAATAAAGCAAGAAAAAGAAATCCAAAATATTCATTTTAAAACCAGTTTCTTCTCCCCACAATACGCATACATCACATAAACAGTAACTGCTTTTGATAGCTTAACATGCCCAAGATACAGAAAGTGAATATCAGGTGGACATCATTCAGTAGATATGAAGACATGGAGCAAATTCTTACATTTGATCTTGACCTGACATGGCTGGGCTCTGACAGACATCTGCATTTCTTCACTGTACATTTAAAACTTAACAATGAACAGGATTTTAGAGTAACAGAGTTCATATAAATCACACTTAAGACAACCTTCACCTTAATACTACATGACAAGATCATAATTCTGCATTTCACTATAGTATGTACCGGTACTCAAAACATGGCACAGTCCATGCAAATTTGGTCCAGTAATAGTCTATACTTACTTTAGAAATGAATTCAATAGCTACCCACGTTATACTGTATAACCTGGGTTGGGACAGTTTAAGCTTTATGAACCGTGAAGTATAAAATTTGGTAGCTATTAAATTTATTCCTTATAATTTAATTTTCCATCTTTAAATCAAGAAAATAAGACAATTTCTCCTTCAAAAATGTCTTCGAATTGTGCATATTTCAAATGTAACGTCAAGCAAATTAATACATTTTTGACGTAAGTCATTGTGACGTAGGCAACACAGGTTATACAATATAAATTAAGTTTTTATCCAATCAAATGATGCGTTACAAACGAAATTAAATTATTTCGAAAAAGATCTGCCCCAAAAAACTTAACCCTAGTCACACAAAAAACTATTCTAATTATTATTAATTGTATATTAGTATTGCATATATTAATTTATATAACAGTATATCATGTATACATATATATATATATATATATTAAAGATTTGCATTTGTGGGGAGATGTATTGAACAAAATAACTCATTAACACAACAGTCACCTGGTTTTTGCTGCTTCTATTAAACAATAAATATGTTTTGATATAACCTGTAAGGTATGCAAATTCCAAGTCTGCGCATAAAATGCCAGTTCAAAGCTTGAGCCTTGTACAATTGTTGTCATGCTTGTGAAAAGTTAACCAGAACATGCTAACTGGTTCATTAATTAATATTGCTACTGAGCATAACTGCATCATGTTAAAATAACTTGATAAAAATTGAGATATCCAATGATTAGAGATATCCTGGGTAAAATACTTAAGGAATAATGGGTTGGGACTTCCAAATCACTTCTACATATCCAAAGTATTCAAGATATCAGTGTTTGAGAGACCAAATTTCAACTGTACATAATGTAAACTTCTATTCTTGCAGCTTTACAAAGTTTTTTTCGTATGTTGTTTAAAGTCCCCCTCGAGAATTTTTCACTCATTAGGAGACGCCACCATTTGCCGCTAGAGAACTGTAAATTTTGTCCTATACTCAGCACTTACGGTCATTGAGCAGTGAGGAATATTTTTCGTGCCAACACCTACTGCGACACAGGACCTTGGTTTATACGGTCTTATCTGAAGGACCGGTCTCCACGTTCCACAGTGGGATTCAAACCCGAGACATAAGGATTAACTTCTTACTCCATGACTCTAGAGCAGACGCTCTAACCACTAACCACGCGGGCGACCCTTTACAAAGTTATGGCCAGGAAAAGACTTTTACATTTAAAAATGTTTTTTAATTAAAAAAAATACTGTTTAAAGTGGCTGGTTCAGGTTAAGAAACACTCCGGTCATGAGCAACCTTTGCTTTAAGTTTGAACTTCTGATGTTTTTCCATTACAAAGTTATTGCCCAGACACAAATTTAACAACTTTTCTGCTAGTGACACTGATCTTGCCCAAATGAACTTTGTTCAACCTTTTCGTCCAGTATGAGCTTCCAATTTCTCTCCATTGCAATGTTATTAACCCTGTCACAATTGCAGGGAAGACAGATGGACAAGTGACTGTTATAACCCCCAACCTTGTTTGAAGGTGGTATAATGATTACTTAATTTTTGTATTTTCCCAATTTTAATATATTGTCAATTTTACCCATTTCCAAAGGTCCTAGTCCCATTACAAGAACATTGAAAAAAAAAGCACTGCAAAGATGATACAGCATGTAAAATTGGAAAATCCCTTATTCTAAATATTTACCTGATGTCTCCAAGAAAGATTCTCAATTGAATCGCCATAATCATAGCGGATCTCCTCTCCTTTTTTAATATTCCTTCTAGCAAAAAGGCAAAGCCTTGGGTAATTATTCACTACTTTTAACTTCATAACAGCATTGTTTTCTGGATCATCTAAAGCTGCATCGTTGACATATCTGCCAAGCCTTTGAAAGCTTTCAGATGCATCAATGCTTGTAAAATGATAATGAAAACAATATGTAGAGAAAAAGTTAAAAGTTACATATAAACAAAAGAACTCATATCAGGGTTCTCCACATTTGAACATTTAACCATGGAGGAAGCTGCGTGAAGGCGAAATGTGACCAAATTAAAACAGGAATGCATGTTAGACTTTCTAACATGCAAGTAGTTTTGCTTTCTCTATTCTGTTTTTCTTAACATTCCTTTTTCTACATATTGCATTTTTGCAGAGTTTCCTCCATTGTTTACTTCTCCATGTGCCCCAGTGCTAAAAATAGCACCATGCCATGTTTCAAAAAAAAAACGGGAGGTACATGTAACTCTAAAACTTAGACAGCAATTGGAACTTATGTACATCATCAGAAATATAATAAAGTTAATACTTAAAAACAGAACATGGGGAATTGATTAAATACAAATGAATAGGAAATTGTAAAAGGGTTATTTTTTCTGGGCACACAAACTTGAATCGGATCTTGTCGGTTATCATGTTGTGTTTCCTTTGTAAATCTGCTGTTATCTTATTATAGTGAACACGTTGGAATTCCCCGCAAGTACATGTGTACAGGAAAATTTACTCTCAAGATATTAATCGTTAGCTGATTGACTCTCTATTGTCATACTTCACAGCATAGTCGCCGATCAACGACCATGTTTGTTTAGCTCAGCTCCGTCCACTTTCTCTCGAGGTGCATGTAGTATAAACACAATTAACAACTCAAGTCATTGAAAGTAGGTGTCAATGCTGAAATGCAATAAATATCAAATCATGGCGGCCACCGATTTTGACCATGGCACAGCTCATTTAACCACTGCGCAAATAAATTTTACCATGATGGGCCGCCATGGTAAAACCCCCTGTGGAGAACCCTGTCATATGAAATATTAGGGCTGCAGGAACATACACATGTTATGCATTAATACATATCACAATATAGTGGTCAAAATATATGAATCACTATGTATTTTTCAAAAAAAAAAAAGAACTGAAGTAGCAGCGGACATTCAAAAAGTAGAAGGGGGTTTGGGGTTCCTCTCCTAACTTGGGGTTGAGGAAGAATACTACAGTAACCGGGGGATAATGTCATTATAGGAGGGGAAATTCCCTGGCCCCTGGTCTTAAGGACAACACTGCAATAAGAACTAAAATAACCTGTGTCACTGTAAATTGACCTTTATTAATCTGATCAAGGTCAAATCTTTACTAAGGACAAAATAATGACCTACAAAATATTTCAATTTGGTGTGATTAAACAGAAAAATAAGTATATGTGAAGGTATTTATATTTCATCATTGATTATATATACACAGTAAAACTTGTGTATATTGGCCATCAATGGTTTCATAAGATTTTGCCAGATTAGAGAACAAGTTAAAGAATTGGAGAGTGTTACGCAACATAATTATGAAATATTGGAAACTATATATTTCATCGGAAAGCAAAACATACTGAAATGCATTTCATCTGATTTAAGTGCACATGCATAAATCAATTGAATATGCTGTTTCAGGGTTTATACTGAAGTCAGAACTAGGGTTGGATACCGTTAAGGATGAAACGGTACGATACCATACCGATATTTTTGAAACGATACGGTATTTTTAACGGTACGGTACTATACCTTGATGAATGAGAATGAGGGTTCATTTCATAACAAATGTATGCTTTCAGTAAATCACCAACCTTTCAATGTTATGACCCAGAATGAGCTTATAAACTATATTTATATTTCAACCTTTTAATAAATGATCAACAAAACAAATAAATTGAATCTCAAACAAATTAATAATCACAAGTATAAACAACTTCCATGGTTGCTAGGACCCATCTTGTTTGGTCGCACTAAACAAAGAAACGTTAGAAAATGGATAGAAATGCACATCACATTTTTGCGACATTTTGCCTTTTTAATTTACATTTTATATTATCAGTTTTATTAATTAAATTGAAACACGATTAATTTGAATGTATTTAATTTTTTTATAAACAAAAATATATGTACTGATTTACCTCGAATATCGGCAGTCAAAAGCAAGTGTCGGACAGTCATACTAAGCATCCATTTCGTTACTTAGCCTACCCTTTCAATGTGCGGAGAATTAAATTTTAGCGAGTTTTAAATCATTTTGAATGTATTAAAATGTTTCAAAGATTAAAAAAACAATATACCCCCGGAATCTTTCGATCCGGGGCCATGAAAATTGTACCGTTATTAGTACCGGTATTAAATGAAACGGTTTTTCACGTGTTTTTTTCAGTAACTATTCGGTATGGTATTGGTACCGAGTACCGGTCCAACCCTAGACAGAACAATGTTGGATTTGGTTCAAAGTTAATGCACGTCTATCCCTTGATTACATACTTCTTTGACTTATACTGCAATTGACTTTCAGAGCACGAAAGAAACTAAGTTTATTCTTTTATACCTACCAACGCATTCCATTCCACTTAAAATAATAAACGTAGCAGTGACCCCTCTTCTTCCTTTTCTCTCTTTCTTCTGCTTCTTCTGGAGTAATTCTTTCTCCCACATACTCCAAAAGAAAACTACCCTTTGAAAACTGCTGGGTGGTAAAAACACCAAATCCTTCAAATAAACATTTTGAAGAAAATTAAATGGAAATACAGACAGAAATACTTACTAATACTTGTTCAATATTAATAAATACATGCTATGATATCACTAGTAATCCAGAGTATCACTCGCAAAGTTGATGAAAAATTGAAATGATGTTAATTTGCATATAGTACACAAAAAAGACAAAATGAAGACACCCTTTGTTCTGTAATTAGGAGAGTAATTCTATTTACTGGGTAATTATAGTTAGTTATACATATATAAATACTGGGTGTTTCAACAAACATGTCTCAACTTTTGCTGTCTATATTTTTGCACAACAATATAATATTTACAAAATTATAACTGTATGTTATAGCAAATTTCCGGCAATATAATTGTGATATAAATAATATGAAATAACATCATTATATTTTTTCCACTGAATTTTGATTACTTCTTCAAAAATCAGGTTGTCAGATTTTTTTCTCTAAAAATGGATCTATGGATGTTTTTGAACTGAACAATACAAACAGAAAATCTCCAAAATCACCAAAACCAGTGCATAAGATTTTGAAAAAAGAAGTACATGTACTCATATGAAAACTATCTTTCTAAGAAACAGACTTCAAATGATGTCAAAATATATGCCATACAGGACTTCAAAGACAAATTGAGGACGCTAACTTTACAACATTGCAGCTTTTTGCAACACATAAAAATGACGTTAAATTGAAAACTGCTGCTGATGTTCAAACTTTAAAAATGCCTGTTTTAAAAAGTAATTGATTCAGCATTACTTCAAATTTCATATTGAAAAAATTGTTTTGTTATGTGGTTTTCATTTTTGCAAAAATTTTGTCACATTAAAGAGGCTGGAGGGTTGTGGCCATTTTTAGACTATATTGATCTCCTTTAGAAGAAGAGCTCCATATGAAGATATAGAAAATGATCAAATTTTAAAACTAAAATTTTTGAAATTTTTCTTTGCCAAATGATAGTTGACAGCCTAAGATATCATATCTAAAAAATTAAGTTAAATCTGGTGGTTAATTTATGGTTAATTTGTTGACCCCCCAGCATCCTTAATACTGTGTAACTTTATACTGAAACCGCAAAGCCAGGCCATGTTTGCTGAAACACCCTGTATATCATATTACATACTAGTGGAACAGTCAACTACAAAATACTTTACAAACTCATTGATAAATATTATTAAATTTTGTTAGCATATACAGATGTAGAGCACCAAAATTCAGAGGTGTACAATAAAACAAATATTAATCTCTAGTCAAAGCTAGCACAGAGCACAAAATCTCTGGCAAAAAAATTTAAAGTGTTCAATTTTTCAAACTGGGCCACATGATTTTCCTCAAAATAAAAACATATACAACTAAAAAACTTTAATGATGTTTCGAAGGAAATTTAGGATCAAATGGAGTTTACAGACAAAGACTGAAAGAGTCCCTTTACTGTAAAACATTAGGTTGTGATTCTGTTTAATTATCAACTACCCATGTTGACAGGTCAATATTTGACAGGTTAACAATTGACCTTCAATCAGAAAAAATTTTTCACAGAGCCTTTGGTACAGGTGAGATAAAAAAAAGTTACTATTTTGATAAGAATAACCTACAGTTCTACAAATAGTTCAAAATGTATTTCCTACCAATTTTTCTGTCAATTAGTTTTTTTTGAAATCCATCTTGATCCAGCCCACTCTCACACCAAAATTTGAGATTCTCTGCTGGGGAAAGTCTTTGTTTCTAAACAAGTGGAAATGATACTATACAATTATGAATTTCAGTTTAGGTTGATATGTAGTTATAAGGATCCGTGTCAAGTGATATTGACTAAAGACATATAGTGACCAAGCTTGCAAGTTAATGCCAAATGTTAACATCTCACATTGAAAGTTTCGAACATTGTGAACAAAAAAGAAAACTTGACTGTCCAGAACTTAGTAATTCAAGCAATACTCTTGAATAATTTCTAGACTCCAAAAATATCGAATAATTTTATCATTTAATTAATATATTTTCCAAACAAATGTATTGTACTTGTAAATAATCTAAACAACATAAATTTCAAAGAGTTTCCTGCATTTTTCGTGCACTATCAATTCTGTCTAATCTGGCAAAATTGTATGGAATAGGCAGAATCTGGTTTGGACATATTATACTGTACTTACCTTCTTGGACTGCTGCTCTAAGATACTTTTCAGCAGCTTATGAAAGGAAATCAAATTATAAAACTTAATAATATTTTGCAATCTAGACTATAAAACAACTATTGTACATCATGTAGTTTTACTTTGGAGAATCTCAGACACCCATTAGGGACTAAAATTAACCTGAGGCCAACATTTTTTTATTAAATGATTTATGGCAATTTTTTTTTAAAAATTGGGAGGGGGGGGGGGAGAGATAAATAAAAATAAAATTCATATTTTACATAGTCAACTAAAACTAAACATGCTAAAATTGAAAAGAGTGTCTGAATTTCTTATTTTCAATTATTCAATAAAAATTGCCATAATTATATATAAATACGGTGTGGAGCTTAAAATATGATAACTGCAACACAAAAATTAAAGTAGACTATTACACCCTTATGAGAAATGGGGGAAATATAAGGAATTTCTTATCAAAATATTTAACATGACCATGACAAGATGACCAAAGAAAAAAAGATTATAAACATGATAAAGAGAAGCTTACTATGCTCAAATTAAGGGGTGGGACGATATACCGATACATATCAATATTTTCTAAGATACTGTTTATGATACATGCATTGATATGTTGGTATGAAACGATACACGAAGGACTAAGGCTGAGATGATTCACCGAAATATTGATATTGTTCAATATTACTGCTCGGTTCACTATCTCGATTTTTGGTTCGTTACGTTTTTTTATAATCCAGTTTGGTTACTCCTTGATATAGATCAGGTTTGACCTTATTTTAATAGTTTGACACACGAGGGAGAAAATTGCGTCGGAGAAAGTTTCAGAGCAGGCTGCCACTGTTAGTATTAACACAAACAAAGTGCTCTTTTAATCTACAGAAGCACAAGTAGTGCTCTTTATTGTATCACCACCTTTTATTTGAAATCTGAATACATGTTTTCCATAACTTTATGATTTGTTTCTTCTTTAAAATGTATTGTATTGAAAAAAATTGAATTGTGACACAAGTATCGCGATACGTACCGTATTGTGGAGGGGGCGTATCGTTTCAGCCCCATGAATAACCTATCAAAAATTTGAAATTGAAAGTAGTTTTCTTTGGAAAATGGTGGCTTGTACGAAGCAAAGAGATGATATTCATATTGAAAACATGTTTTAGATCTAACTAGATATCATTGAGATGGTGGCCATCAAACATTGCCATGAAAATCACGAGTGCTCCATACCCTCTATCAAAAAACAGCACAAAAATCACGAATGTTGCATATCCTCTATGAAAATTGTTGCATATCCTCTATCAAAATATGGAAGGAAAATCACAAATGTTCTGTACCCTAAGTCATTTGGTAAAGTTTGAGGCTGACTGGACTTAAGAGAAAGAAATTATGCACCTAATGAAGATTTTAAACACAGAGGTTATTTTTGACCTTGACCCTTGACCTAGAAACACATCCATTGACCAGTGGCACTCTGTGAGTGAAGTATGAGGCACATAGGATGAAGGGGAGAGATGATATGTATGCTCCAGACAAGGACTTTTCATATAATTCTGCTATGACCTTAACCATAGACCTAGAAACATGGTTCAAGGTCACTGCACACCCTTTACCCAAAGACACTCTGTGGGTGAAGTATGAGCCAGATTGGGCCAAGGAGAGAGAAGATATGCTCCAGACAAGAGATCTGGCATAAACACATGATAAAATACCATTTTGTTTGCAGTGTCTGTTTATAATTTAACACACAGGAAAATAGTCAGTACAGTGCTGCGTATGATCTTTTTAAAATGTTAAAAGTTTGAAAATGTTTCTTGGATATACATGCAAGTCAGATACATCACATTTTATGCTTCACAAAATTCGAACGTCTATTTTCAATTTCCACTTTTTTAATCACATTCATCAACTGAAAGGTATCAAAATTGTAAGAGAACTACTGTATATGGTACCCATGGCGAAAGTGACAGTCTTGTCAACATACCCTCTAGTAAAATGTATTATGCTGACCATTTTTTAAAATTTCTTTTTAACTCCAACTTAACTTCTTCATCGGACATACTCTAATTGATTTTTCTGTTAGCTATGGTTGACTTTGAAAAACTATCGTGGTTAAGGGCAAAGTATTCTCAACTTGTAAAATTTGACATTTCTGCATCGATTACCTGCTGGCACATTTCATACACTTCTGAAACAGTTGATAACAAACGTTAGGGGTGGGACGATATACCGATACAAACCGATATTTTCTGCTAAGATACGGTTTACGATACAAGCATTAACATATCGGTTCGAAACGATACACGAACAACCTATCCAAAAATTGAAAATGAAAGTACTTGTCCTTGGAAAATGGCGGCTTGTATGACGCGAAGAGATGATATTGATATTGACAACACGCTTTAGAACTTATAAGTCGGAGATAAGGGGTAAAACAATTTCACTTTTAAGTATCTTCGGAAGATGGGACAAGAAAAGTTCCGTATGTAAAGTCGGTAAAGCGTGTGATATACAGAAAATATCGTTTCCACAACAGTTGATATTATTAACCTGATTAATAAATTGTTATAGTCCATCTGGCACTAACAGCGCATAACAAAGCATGGATTTTCTAATTTCAAGAATTTGAAATTTTGAAACAAATTGTGGATTAATTTTTTTATAAACTCAACTCGGTTGCAGACTTTCAGCAATTATTAATAATGTACATGTGATGTTTTTTAATGAATTTTTAGTCAATGTTCTTAAATAATGAACTACACAACTATTTATAAACAACTTGTTTATAGACATTTGGCGATACTACAAGTAATATTGTTTTTGTAAATATTTAGTCAATGAAATTGATGAAGTTCAAGTATTAATTTCAAATATCACATATAATTTGATATAGAATGATTTGTTGATTTATCATGTTTATTGTCAAGACAAAAAATGAAAACAAATACTAAGTTTTTAAATAATTTTATAATTTATCATAATTTCGAGATACGTATCGCATCGTGCTGTATGTAGCGAGGTACGTATCGTATCACAAGATCTGTGTATCGTCCCACCCCTAACAAATGTACATTGATTGGATGAAAATAATGGCTTTCAATTAAGCAGCCAATCAGAATTGCTGACTTATGTGCACATTATTTTATTTTCTTAGTGCACTTGTATTGACGATTAGCGGGAAATTTAAAAATCAACAACAGTGGCCTTTATTTTTTATGTGGTTTTAGCTTAAGTGTGTAGTCTGCACTCCCATAAATCATTTTATTAAAAAATGTTGGCCTTATACAGGGATTTTCCACTGCCCCGTGTAAGGCTGAATATGGGCCTCATTCCCAATTGCAAAACCCCTCCCTTTTTCTAAAATGAACTACATAGTTCAATGTTTGAATGCATAAAAACTCCACGAATTTAACTTGATCAAAATTCACAAAAAACAAACAGGCGGTGCCAGGCAAATCGTCAGTGCATATTACATAAAACTGGAAGTAATAGTATTTTTTCTCGATATACGTCACAAGTCACGGGGTGTGGAGGACCCTTAAACGCGAAAGATTTTTTGACATGACATAATAATTTCTCTCAGGTGTTATTGTAGTAGGTAATACATTCTTTATGCACTTCAATTGCATTTAGCTGTTTACCTAAGGCTTTTTCAATGCATTGACTGCAATCGTGTTTGAGGGTTCATTTTGGGATTCTTATGAGTGCAGAGTCAATCTAATAGCATGAACTAAGACAATAAATATATGTAGAGACAATGTGAACAAGTCTAAGGGAATTTTTTTTTTACCACACAGGACATTTGGTCCTGTGTAATCAATGAACACACATGCCAAACCTAATTTTGTCAGACCGAGAAACCTAATGTAAAACAGTGAGAAACATGAAAATGCAGAACCAAAGAAATCACATAATACTGTAGATGGTTTTTATCACTTTCAGTAACGTATTTGGATTTGTGCAATATTTATTTCTCATAACAAACATTTAAATGACTCCGCGTCAAAATAGTAAAAGCTCAAAACCGGACACTGAGACATCGGACATTCTTGTCTGGTGTAAAAAATGACACATCAGACCAAAGGCACTGCACACCAGTTAGGCCTTACAGTCCGATGTCTTTCACATGGACTGGTGAATCAACATTTTAGGTTGAAATAAAATAAAGTTTTCTTTTTAACCCAGGAAGACCAGCGGGAGTACAATGTAAACAAATCACACTGGCATACTTTTCTCTTTTATTTAATACGTAAAGTGGGGATTTTTTGTATGAAATGATTTTGCTTTTTTCTCCCAATTTTTTGCTATGGTGTACATGATAAATAGGTGTAATAAATATAATTTGTGAAGAAAATACCAACAAGCCCTGAGGTTGAATATTGGGGAGGAGGTGGAAGTTCTGTCCACAAGTACCTAAATGTATGACACAGCGATTTTTTTTCCTTATATAACTGGTACCGATAAACGGCATCATTCCCAATGCCAAAAAACGTTAATTTTTCCCAATTTTGAGACTAAAAATTCCCAATTCCAAGCAACAGACTATGATGACATTGTATGTAGTA